AGAACAGCCTCAGCACTGTGGCAGGCCAGTCTCAGTAGATCTGAGGTTCTTGGTTCATTATTTTTGCAAGGGAAACAGCTGTTGACCTTAGGATTTGCAGTGCAACTCATTGTCATGGCACTGAATGGAGGTATTTAGGATGATCATATCTGTTTACAGTAACAGTTATGAAACATCCCCTACGTGTTTCACTGTTAGGTGGAAAAGCAGCGTGCCAGTCAGACATCACTGCTGCTCATCCAGATGCTCCACAACCACCCCCTTCAATGCATCTCCTAGTCCAGTGCTCAACTTCGGAAAATAGTCAAATTTCAACCCCCTAAAACTACTTCAGGGCCCCCAAAAACTCCTGCTGAAGCTCAGAGTGAAACCCTATGCCAGCCTCAAACAAGTGAGAGTTTTCTGTGACTGCATCCTGTGGTTTCAGCCGGTTTTGCAATTAAGTTTGTGTCCTAGTTTCATTCTGAATTTCAGCTTATGCCATCTTCAGCTCAGACAAATCAGAGGCTTAAAGCGAAACTCAAAGCCATACCAACCTCTGCTCTGAGCTAACTGTTGCCCAACTCTAGTTTTCCTCCCTCTTTTATTCTCTTCCCCTTCGCATTCAAAGCAAACCCTCCTATAAGTCCCTGCAGTTTGCTTTTGGAGCTACCTCCTGAGGACATGGAGACAGCTGCAAGCTTCTCCTTCCACATGCACACTGAGCAGAAGCTTTGCTTCCAGCCCTCGTGTGTTTCTGAGAATAAAAAGGAACTGTGTTCCCTGCCGATGAGCACCACAGAATCACAGAATGGTTGGGTTGGAAGAGACCTTACCACCCACCCAGTCCCAGCCCCAGCAGTGGGCTGTCTGCCCCACCAGCTCAGGCTGCCCAGGGCTCATCCAACCTGGCCTTGAGCACCACAAGGGATGGAGCAGTGCCAGAGCCTCACTGCCTTCTGGTGAAAGAGCTTCCTCACATCTAACCTAAATCTCTCCTCTCTTATTTTAAAACCATTCCCCCTTATTTCATCGCGTTCTATCCATGCAAAAAGTCACTCTGTCACCTGTTTATAAGCTCCCTTCAGGTACTGGAAGGCTGCAGTGTGGTCTCCCCAGAACCTTCTCCAGGCTGAAGAAGGCCAACTCACAGCCTGTCTTCATAGGAGAGATACGAAAAGCAGTAAAGATAAACAAGCATTAAAATAAAAGAAAGTGGTCAAGTGCATGCTGAAGGGCTTCAGAGCTTTCCAGGAGTCCAAAGCCACAAAGCTGAAATTTGGCCTAACGTTGACAAAGCAGGGGTCACAAGAGGAGGCCGCACGCTCGTGCCGAAGTTATGCAGATGCAGTTATGTGCTTTTGTTTTCACAGTTAAACGTGTAGCCTCCATCTGTGTAAACAAGGAGCAGAGCAAGCTGACATTGCAGGGAAAATACAGTAGAGAGAAAGAGAGCTGGAGCAGGTCTTGGCTACAGAGCAAAGAAACTCAATGGGATTAAGGCTCCAACTCAGATGTGACCTCATCCTCCAAAGCACATGAAGGAAAAGAACAAACACCCTGCAAAAAGAGGAAAAAGAGAAAAGACCCTGAAAGGTACCAGCTAGGCCAGCAGCATGACCTGTGAGAACCCAATTGGATTTTAATGCAGTGGGCAGTGTGCCCAGGACTCCAGTAATGCTCTGTGTTGTACACAGTGCTTCAGAGCTCTGACTTCAGGATCTGGAGCCGTCACAGCTGGAGGGAAAGCTCTGCAGGAACCCCACACTGCGCAGCAGTAAATAAATAAACCTCAGTGCCTTTGCATATTTGTAGGGGTTTTGTTATTAATGGTTAGGTGCATTAAAAGACTAACAAAAGCCAGTAAGGTCCTCAGTTATATTTCTTCCATGCAATCAGTACTCATTATATATTAGCATTTCAGGGTTAGACAAGACGACCTCCAACCTACAGCACTCTGTGACTACCTCTCTAGAAATGCATCAGTTTCTCATCTGCTCTCTCCCATCCTGCCTTGTTTTCTCCTAGTCAATATTCTCTATCACTTCCTTCCTTCTCCTATGAGTTTTACAGTGACTTTCTCCAGGGCAGTTTCACACGCATCTTATCTGCTAGATAAAACACTGAGTGTGTTCATTTGACATTGTAACATAACAGAAAGCACAGCAATGACAGCAGAGCAGCATGAATCCTAAGCTGCAGCAAGTAAGGATTTGCTCAAATACAACAGCCATAGGCACAAAAACAAAGGAAACAAGCTGCTTACCTTCAGAAGGCCTTGGGTATAAAGGGAGCAATATACCCTTGCCTTCACTATCAACCCTTAAATCAGGTCTTCTAACCCTTAAATGGATCCTGGCTCCACCCCCTCCAGTACCCTGCACACTGCATGCAGCTGAGCTCCCCTGGGTTGGCTTTGCCTTCCCACCCACCAGGTGCTCAATCACTGCTTCAAGCTGTGACTCGGCATTTCTGCTGCAGACACAGCCACGTAAAGCACAGCATGCCTCAATAAAAAGTTTTCCTTAAACTTCTGATGACCATAACAGCTTGCCCAGCTAATGTGATTCTTAAAGAAGTGATTAAAAAAGAAATCAGATTATCAAATCCTGGGAAATCCAAGAGCATGTCAGGATTTGCTTAGACTGCAGGGTAAGAGTGCTGCACCACAGATCTGGAGTGCCTCTTTCCTAGCTGCAAGCATGGGGTCGTGTGTGGCTTTCATTTTTTTTTAAAGCTGTTAGCTGTACAGATGCAAAACGATTTCCCCTTACCCATATGGACATACACCACTCTAATCAGACCAAAACCAGACAGTGTGGGTAGTCTGGAAGGCCAGCTACATTCTGGGCTGCATTAAAAGAGTAGCAGCCAGCAGGGAGAGGGAGGTGATCGTCCACCTCTACTCAGCTCTTGTGAGGCCCCATCTGGAGTTCTGTGTCCAGGCCTGGGGCCCCCAGTACAGGGAGGACATGGAGCTCTTGGAGCAGGTCCAGAGAAGGGCCACTAAGATGATCAGAGAGCTGGGGCACCTCTCCTATGGGAAAAGGTTGAGAGAACTGGGTTTGTTTAGCTTGGAAAAGGCTCCAGGGAGACCTTGTTGTGGCCTTCTGATATTTGAAACGAATGTATAAACAGGAGGGAGAACAACTGTTTACAAGGGTGGATACTGATAGGACAAGGGAGAATGGTTTTAAACTGAGACAGGGGAGGTTTAGGTTGGATATTAGGAGGAAGTTTTTCACACAGATGGTGGTGATGCACTGGAACAGGTTGTCCAAGGAGGTTGTGGATGCCCCATCCCTGCAGGCATTCAAGGCCAGGCTGGATGTGGCTCTGGGCAGCCTGGTCTGCTGGTTGGTGACCCTGCACATAGCAGAGGGGTTTAAAATGGATGATCATTGTGGTCTTTTTCAACCCAGGCCACTCTATGGTTCGATTCTATGAACGAGTAACAGCAGTGATTTATGTGACCAATCTGGTGCAGGCAATATACAAGGTGTAATATCCTAATGTTGTCATCTCCATTGTCATATTATTAATAACAATCAAGAATTCAGTAGGTTCCTCTCTCATATCCCAGCACAGTATATTTGTGTAAAGAAAGCACATAAAAGTAATTGAAAAAATATGCTCATAGATTGTATACGAGTGTTTAAGCTACCTATGGGTCTATAATCTTACTCTTATCTTTTTTCCTGTGTCCACAAAACCCAAAAACGCCAAAGCAGCAGTTTCAGTGAAAAATCAAAAGTCACTTTTGAAAACTTGGAAGTCAAAATGAGATAGTGTTTCACACTTCACAAATACGAGGGGTTTGTGTTGCCAGCATACGTCTGCAAAGAACCAGCCATGTGCTCCGTTCTTTTTATACCTCTGAGCTGAGTAAACTCCTCAAAACTGGAGGGCACATGTCACTTACACTGACATGCAAATCATTACTGCTTTGTCTGCCAGGAAATCTGTGTAAACCAATGCTGAGTACAGGTTCATTCTGTTGACATTTTCACCAACGGGTAAATTGGAAGGTTACACTGTTGACATACCAGATGTTATGCAAACTGCTTTTCAAACCAAGGTTTCCATTTATCTCTACAAATACATAAATTAGACACAAATGGTGTATGAATTTATTTTATTTAAATATGGTAAAACACCCATTTGTATACATGCAACAAAAACTACTGTGTGTAAACTCTACACCTCACAGTGTCAAAATGTCCTTTTTCACCCAGTACCTTTCATTTGCCTGAAAATAGTGTCATCTGTGTAACTGTTTTCCCTCAAAACCAACTGTTCTTCATAGTAAGAACATTACATGGAAGCCTGGGTGCCAGAATTAGCACATGGCATTATCAATGGGAGCTGAGCACACAAGTAGGAGTGAGACTACCAAATATCTTGAAAGATATGAAGTTATGCATATACAAGACTAGTTCAATATGCGCCAACTTTAGGCACACCCAAGTTTTTAATGTGGATTGGTTCCAGTTTTGATTTAGCCTTGGGGTACTTTGACCCTTTGACTCATCTCTAATAACAGAAATAAACAAAAAACTACTTGTCCAATGAGACTGTTATTTTGAACTGGTTCTCCTTTCATAGTGATGAAAATCAGGACTGACCTCATACTTCCATGCTCAACGAAGCACATGGAAGCACAAGGGTTAACCTTACTGCATTTCATTAGTCTCATGACTAATGGAGAGTAGGGCCGACTCCAGCTAAGCTTACAAATACCTTCGAGTATCTCAGCTGCATTAGTGTACACACAGTCAACAAATCTATAGTTGAAAAGAGCATTGTGGAGAGATGGCAAAAGAACAAACAGAGAAGGAATGCTCACCCATATCCAAAGATTTAGGTGCATGAAGAAAAGCTCCACAAAGACAGGAACCCCAGAAAAAGATTCCCCAGAAAAGCGGTAGTCAGCCCTTAAATGGGGTCTAGGAGAGGTGGAACCTGGTTCCACCCCTTCCGGTCACACAGTTGAATTGCCTTCACCTGTGCCCCCAGGGCTGACCCAGTCCTTGCCTCAGGTGATCAATCAGTGGTTCAGGCCATGACTCAACAGTTACCATACACTGTAGGCAGAGAAAAAGGTGTTCAGTCCTTGCTCATCCAGGTCTCCCAGCACGATCTTATCTCCAGGAGTACCCTGTAGTGCCAGTGAGTTCTTGCCATATTTGCAATGTATGAGTCTATTCTGGTGTAAACCAGGCAAACCAGACTCATTTCCTAATTTCTAGATGCAAAGAAATGAGACTTTTTGGAATGACAACGATGCCTTCTGCCAGTTGCCTCATCTTCTAATCAAAGTAATGTCATAACACATCAGCTTTTCTGCAGTATTTTATATGCATTCAATATGCAGATGCAGAATGTTTTCAATACACTCCAGAAAACTCCTCCAAGCTGGAAGAAGCCTTGATCAATTCAGAGCCTTCTCAACCAGCTGAGACAGAGGACTGTGTCTTTCCCACTTTATAATTCTTCACTGAGTGCTCATACTGAAATTGTTTCATAACCACATGAATTTGGAGTTTTCATTTCACCCTTGGAAGAAATGTAGAGTCTGGCACGGTGACAAGTATAACAGTGTGTAAAAGCACAATTAACTTGTGCTCCCACCCCATTTTTTTACATTTCTGAGGAAGCTCTGAGATTTCAGAGTGATTGTTTTCACTTCAGAGCCAGCAGCACACGGTCCCTTCACTTCATCAGCTGGGCACGGGCGTCAGCTCCTGTCCCACAGCTGTGCCCCAGCAGTGGGCTTCCTAACCAAGAGAGGAAGGAAGAAAAAAGTCAAAATGGAGTTACATGTGGAACAAACACTATTAGGCATAATAAAAACACCATAGCCCCAGGTTGGAACTGTGAAAGCAAGGTACCTGAGTGATAGGGAGAGCATGGCTGCACCTCACAGCTCATTTCAGATGTGTGTCACTCCTGGAGCCCAGCTCAATCTGCTGGGTCAAGTAGAATGAGATGAAAAGTGTGCTCCTATATTTTTTCCACTGGGAAACACCAGCTTTGAAACTCTTCACAGAAATGTATTAGACTGGTGCTTTATCTAGTTGCTAAAAAATAAAGAAAAAAAGAAAAAAAATCAGAAAAAAAAATCTCAAAGCTGCAGAAACATTTTCAGGTTTTGGGCAAATTTTTTTTTTCTTTGTATAACCAGCTTTTCACTTCAAAATCTGAATTTGTTTATACACTATTTTATAAACTATTTGTTTATACACACTAAGGACCCCAGAGAATAAAGATCAAACACAAATTTTCGATAGGATTGGGTTAGGATATCTCAGAAGATTTCAGCATCTGGTTTGACAAGTATTTTGAGATCCTGAATTCTCAATTCATCATGGTAAAAGAAAGATGGGTGAAAAGAAAATGGTTTCAGACACATCATACTGATATCTCAGTAGTGAAAATTTCTGTGAACTTTTTTATCTTTTTGACTTTCCGAAGGTGACTGCTAAAGCAGCATTAAATGTAAGTGCTCTCAGAATACTGCCCTTCTATCTGGCTGATTTGTTGTATGTGGGGCAGACTAGCGGGTGAAATCGGTAGTTTCAGAATGAAGGAGCCATTTCAGTAGTTTAAGGATGTCAGATGAGCAAGGCAGAGGTTATCTGTGCTGAACCTGGGTGCTCCATCCAACCACTGCTATGAACGTGGCTCCATGGTGGCTCTGGTTTGCTGCCACTTGTATCCAAGTGACAGCACGTGGAACATCTCACCTTGCTCCTGATGACAGCAGGCCCTCCCAGCTCTGTGTCCTCTTCCAATATATCTAAGCAATGCTCTATTCTCCCTTTCTTCACCCTTTTACTTGGCAGCTACAGGCAGATATCTCACCAGCTAGTGCTAGCGCAGGCGAGAGGTGCTTTAAGGCCTTTTTGTCTTGAGGCAAAACACAACCCCGGAGTTCATCTGTCTTAAATTCTCCTGTAGTTTGTTTTAGATACCACTGACTTCTAGGGGAAAATAATTTAAACTGAAATCAAGCAGACTGCCACTTCAGAACCGCCTTCACTCAGATCATGGATGGCACGAGGCACCAGGCAGCTTTCAGATTTCCAGCAGCGGTCAATAGCACTATGTATGCTTTTCCCTTACCACCAACACCATAAGGACATTCTGCCAGACACAATCATCTCTAACCAGACTGGCAGCTTAGAAGCTATCCTAAACACTTGGTTTGAAGAGCCTGGCTGTTAAAAGAGGAACAGCCAACTGCAGGAACGGATAAAATAGCATTGAAAAGCAGAACAAAACAACACCATGCCAAGGCTTTGATAACTCTTTTTCACAAGCCCAAAGCCAGCTCTGTGCAGGGCTTAAAGACCATTTAAATACATAAATAGATATGTAAAAGTATTCTGCCACTCCTAACAGTTGCAGTAGTCACAGATTTAAAGCACCGCACACTTGATACGCACAGGAAATGGAAGGGGATGGGGTGGGTTTTATCTCATGAGGTTTTGTTCTGTAGATTCTGACTTTTTTTTTTTTTTTTAATCAATTGTTGGTTTTTAATGGAGTTATACCAAAACACCCTCAAGATCTGCAGTGGTTTGCACCTGTGGTTAGCAGGCCAAATAGTAGCATGTTTTGTTTTCCATGTAGCATTAGAGATGAGAGGGCAAGAGCATGGCTTGGTTTTACAAGACTTGGAGGGGCACTAAGGGCCCATACAGCCCCTGTTTGGCTGCCTAAAGCCTCCTCTGGTCATGAAGTAATATGGAAGGCTTGTAATAACAGCTGGTGACCAATACATATGTATTTTTTCATTAACCACTTTAAAGTTACTTCAAATTCTATGAGGTTTTTACTTAAAATTTAAAGAAATATTAAATTAAGACAAACAATTACATGCAAAAAAAAGGAGGTAAAACTTCTCATGTGACCGAAGAAGCAAGGCAGACAGCTTTTCAGTTCACACGCTTCCTAAAGACAGTTTGTTTTGGATACACTCAAACAACCTTTACAAATATTTTTGCTGAATGTTTTTAGAATTGTCAGAAAACAAAAATAGTCCATTATTCACATAGCTTTGCTAGTAAGTTCCGTGATTACAAAGGACACAACTCACATGTCCTGCAACAGCTGTATTCCATCTAATTCACCTAGTTCAGCTTTGGTTTCTTATTGGTTTGGCAACCCTGAAGGTCCAGAATATGTTCTGGATAACATTAGGCATGAGAACACAGGTAGAGTTTAGGCTGCCTGAAAACAGCCTTGAATTCACAGAAATTTTCCATCTGCTGCTGCTCTTCCAGGAATGGTGCCACTCTACTCTTCCTTCCCTTTCACCAACGGCATATGAGCTCTGCAAATGACACTGAAATGCATATGTGCATCACAGTGGTGCTAAGAAATAAAGCAGGACTGATATCAGATGAAGAGATAGAGACAAGGAGAAAAACTTGGGAGTGATGAGTCAACTAACTCCTCAGAAAGACAGCAATGAGATGAGATGCTTTGTTGTCAAGAGGAGATATGATTCATAGCAAAATTCACATGAAATATGAACCCAGAACCCAGCGTTCTCTGCCATCTCCGGGAATGACTGAGTGCTCTTGAGGGTTTCACCAGGAGGAAACTGAGCTTGATATATATGGTCACCTCTTTCCTGGAATGCATGGCCATCATTCATCAGGAAACAGAAGAGGAACTAAATGTGACTATACAAAATCTGTGCTTTCTCATAAACCTTTTATGCAGTTGTGTATTTAAATCCAAACTGATCTGTGGAGCTTGCTTTGTGACTTACGTTCAGTATCTGTGACCATCACTGTTTGGTTCCAAACTGCTCCTTTGCAATAATGACTGCTGTAACACTGAAGGCTGAATCACGCTCTGCCCATGGAGCCCAGTGCCTAAATGCAGGGCAAGAGAGGGACAGAAACAAACAAACAAGAAATAAGAGAGATCTGTGAGACAATCATGGGAAGCAGTGATCTCAGAACATCATGCTCCCCAGCACTGACAACCCTTTCTATAAGCATCATGGCAAAGGAAAAGTTTCATTCTCTTACACAAAAAATAATCTGTATTTTGAATGTTTTGTTATAAATTTGTTTTGATCGTTCACTTGATCTCTGAGTTGAGAACAAACGTAGGTTATCTTAGCATACAAATAACTCATAGGATATTTATCTTCTGGCTTGGACTCCCAAGCAATTTTATAATACACACACACACATTTAATTGTATGCTTTAAATTCACTGGTATTCATGCCATGTCTGATCCTCATTATGAAAATACATCTTCTGGGTAGAATGGATGTTTTTATAGGACACATTCTGGTTATGGACATGATCTTGTAACTGTTTCTAGCTTGTGAGGTTGCAAGTCTGTGCTATATCTGCATTAGGAAGAAAGATCTTTCATATATGAAAATAAAGTGAATAAGAGAAGTTGACAAAGAAACATCAGATGATCTCTCAGATCATCCAGCTCTCAGCTGTACTCGGTGGAAATAATCCAAATAATGTCAGTAGAGGCAAGTACTAAATATAGACTGATGGTCTGGAGGTACTGGCATATTTGATTTACACTGCAGAACTGTAAACTTTTGAAGTTCTTTGAGATATTTGGATGCAAAGTCCAGTTAAAGTGCAGGCTTTGTGTCTCTGTCTGTCACTACAAGACAGTGTGACTCAGTCTGTGTTCCCATACACAGGAAGGACAGATAGACTGGCCACAGAGGAAGGGGAGAGTTTAATCCATTCACCACTGTTCTCTTCCAAGCAGGGAGTGGAATTATGGGGGAGGAAACAAGGCCAACCTCAGCTCAGCCTGCTGGCAAGAGCAGCTTAGGCTGTGTGGGGTAGGAGAAGGGAAGGCAAAGAGGCCTCCTGAGGTTTAATGGCCAGCAGCAAAATAGTGGCCTCCCTCAAACTGGAGGGAGTAGGGAGGAGTGTGATTCCAAGAGGACCGAATTTCCTGTTCAGTTTAGCTAAAGGGTGATGCAGTTTGCATGCTGCCTACTGCCCTGGGAGATGCCTGTGATCACAACTTCATGCAGAGAGATACAGAGGCACCTGGTATTTTAAAACAAAGGTCTGTAGGCAGGTATAGATCTGAAACTTCCACGTGGCACCTTGGCATGCATGGAAGCTATTTTTAAGAAGCCTCGGGCAGTGGCTCCCAGGAGCAGATTCGTAAGCTCCATTCCCATTATGGGAGATCTTCGTCTACCCTCCAAAACCTGTAGCTCAATGCACAGAGCCATCTGCTATGAGGTCACTTGTTCAAAATCTGTCGTGAATAAAGCATTTACTACTTAAGAACAAGAGTTTGGTGGCTGACATCAGCTGCCTGCTGCATTGATTCAGACCCCATTGGGGCACTTTAAAAACCTACATGAAAAACCTCCCTGCCCTACAAGACCTACCAGCGCAGCAGCCCACATGCAGTGCCAGCAGTGCTGTACCACCAGCGTTGCCCAAAGCAGGCTAGGAAAGGATTGTCTGACCACTGCTTCCCCGAGGACCTCCAGGGAAATGAGATGTATCTCATGAGCTTCTCAATCAGCAGAAACTGGAACAAAAACAAATAAAACAGTTGGTGGTCTCAACAGTGTTTCTTGAGGGCAGTCACCCATGTTACAAAAGCTTTCCTTGTGATGGGCACTAATTGTTCCCCCTTGTTAATGCTCTTAGCAAAGAAGTCAGCAATGAAATTGCAATGGAGAGTAAAGGTCAGGCAGACAGAAGTATTTGGGTTTCTTGCCTCAAATAAAAGGAGCCTGAACTTCCACTGTGACCAGTGTGAATGTTGGTGCCTGTGTAGCAACCAGGACCCACATTTAATCACTGCAATGATTGTCAAAATGTTGTTGCTGTTTGAAATTTGTCTGCAAAGGAGGGGAAAACAAGCATCTCCAGAAGTTTGCTCAGAGCTTTTGTGGAACACTCAGCTCCTCTGCAGGGATTCATCTCAGTCATCAGTTGGAGATAAAGAACTGGAAGTCTGCCTTCCAACTCTAAAACCTCCAAAACTTGGCCAAAATGGGTAGTCATGAATCTTGGCCTGTGTATCCAAGTCACCTTGTGTACCAGCTCTAATGGCAGGACCTCTCTCAACTGATGGCAGGACCTCTCTCAACTCATGTTAGTCACATCAATGTCAGTCTCTAGTCCAAACTGCTCACTGTGGGGAGGCATCTCTCCACTGATGGAGATGGATGCTTCACTCAGATTTGAAACTTCAGGCTTCAGCCACACAATTGTCAGAGATAGAGAGCACTACGGGTCCTTTGCTGTATGGCTGCAACAGGACCGCCAGCTTTGCCTCTCTCCCCTTACACTGTGTGTTTCCAAGCCCAGTAATCCTAGTGTGTCAAATCACTGCTAGTATTTATTCCTGGTCCTTTTATACTGCCTTTTCATAGGGGTTCAGCTGTAGTTTTCCCGTTAATTAGACCCATCTATACCAGAGCTTGTACTAGACCAAACCAAACACAAGCCAAAATTTAATCTATAAAACAAACATCAATGTTATCAATAGGCAGCAGGCTGAAAGAGGCATAACCCTGTCTGCTCTGAAATCAGAGAGAAATATCTAAAGCAGTGTGAAAAAGGCACCAAAATGGCACATTTTGAAAGAAATGAGATGAAAAAGATAGGCAGTCATTCTCAAATACAAGCAGTAGTTCTCTAATCACAAAGCAGGTCGCTAGTGGAGTGCTTCCCATGAGCAATACATCTGTGGTTATGCAAACCTTATAGGTACAGTTCCTATTACAAGCTAACACCAATATTTTCACTGCTAGCAAGTTCAGTGCAAATATGTGTCTTTGTCAGTAAAACTTAGAACATTTTAATCACATTTCAAATCTTATTTTCATTAATTAGCACATAACTTTAGTTTTAAAAATCAGGATTTTTAAAAAGAATAAACAATTGGAGAAGACATAGTTTCTCTGTTTAAATATGCATTCTGATGCCCATATCTATCAGAATAGATTGTAGGTATTAAGATATCTTAAACGTCTCCTTGGAGACACTCTCCAAATCTTAAATTTTTAAAAGGAGTTCCAGGTAAATTCAAACCTTGCTCCCAGGTGGGGATCCATCAAAAAGTTCTCATTGTATGAGGATGCTGTGAGGTTTGATGTCCTAGTGAGCAGAAGGTGATTTTTGGTGGGCAATGGATCGACCTTCCAGTTCATGCTACAGCTCATCACATCAGAGGTGCAATCCCAGGTCTTATTCCTTTCTGTTTCCTGAGGTGGTCATGTAATCAGAAAATCTTCAGGTATGCAAGAGTTACTGATGGGATATGTCATATCAGAGGACATCTCTGGAGGCTACAAAGAAACAGAAAATCAAATGAAACATAAATAGTTCAATTATACGTAACAAAACTTGTAATATGTTTCCTAAGAAAATACGTGATTTTAGTGGCAATTTTCCTATGCAATATTTCAATGCTCAGGAATGTCAGAAGTTAAAAAGTCACCATTTCAAAATAAACAGTTGTATTTCAATGGAAAATGTTGGCTTCTATTCACTTGAACATCACTGATTCTCGGGAATGTTTCATCCTACAATAGTTTTCAGTACGTTAGTCAGTTCTAGCTACTGCTCTCAAAAGGAGGGTAAAGGGGAAGGGGAAAATTCTTAGCAGAGCAAGCAGGGTTTAGGATGACAGGGGCTTTTCAGTGCAGAGTAGGAAGGTGAGTTTGTGTAGGATCCACTCTGCCCAACCCGTCTCTCTCTTAACTTTAGCTTGGAGCAAGCATCAGATCCCAATGTAAACTTTCCCATCTGTGTTATTCTATTAACTGAAAGGGAAAGGGATTAGCATGTGTACTTGTCACATCTTTTGACCTGCTGCATACTGAGACTGAAGGTAATGTTAAAGCAAACAGCATTCTTCTTCCCCTGCCAGGATAAGCAGGGCATGGGGCAGCATTCTCCTCAAAGAAAAGAAAGCCAGACCACGTAACACAAAGTATGTGCCCCGTGCAAAAATAAATCTTGGAAGCTGCAGACTTCCAAAGGGTATACCTTAAACAGGGCAAGAAAAAGAGGGAAAACATCTGAGAGGAAAGTTCCCCTTGCTGCCAAGCACCAGATGGAGGAGGGCCTTCCCACAGAAATAGCTGCAGAAACCACTGCCAGGCAAGGAGGTCCTGCTCGTCCTGCTGCTCAGAGCATAGTGGATGAGAATATACTACTCTGATAAAAACACTTGCTCCAGAGAAGGGAGATGGAATGTGGTACTGTGCTTTATAGTGTGACAGAGTCCAGCCTGTATCCCTGAAAGGAGTATACAGTTTGGAAGGTTAATATGGCTTGGGTTTCATTCTTCCTTTTCTTATAGAATCCATTTTCTTCCCTAATGTAAGTTTAAAGAGCACATGTGCACACACAGGCATGCACAATGGCAACAATAATCTGCTTTTCTTCTCCCTTCCCCTTTTATTTCCACAAGGCCTTTCCTGTGAGTGGGACAAGATGAAGTGTTGGATGGTGACAGTGATGGAGAACATGTTTGGGAATAGAGGGTTGCCAAAGAAGCTAGGCATCAAAAATCTTTTTCACGTGTTTCAGTTAGCTTGGCACTAAATTATTCATAGAAAAGAAAAATTGAGGGCTTTCCACTCCTGCTTGTCCCAGATGTTCCTGGGTCCTCTGTTAAATCAATAGAAGTGCATGCAGTTGGTCAAAGAAGAAAACAAACGCAGCACCTCCAGGATGATCCGGGCAGTTCAGCAATGGGAAAAAAGGCAATTAGCAGTATTGCTGTCAGAGAGCAAAATGAACGGGACAGGATGTGTTGGGTACAGTGTGCTCAGGAAACAGGCTCTTCCAAGAAGGCTTCAGGTACGCCCTGATGTTCCCAACATTTGAATGAGAGCCACTGTAACAATTAACAGCCAAAGGCTGAGCATCCGATGACAACAGAGAAGACAGTTAATAGAAAGTACTAACCATAACTAAAATACAGTTCCACCTTGGGATCGCATTCCTTCAGAGTGCAAGAAGGGTATCAGCAAATCAGGGTGAGCCCAGAAGTGGGCTATTGAGACAGCTGAATAGATTAGGGAGGTGAACTTGTTCAGCCTGGGGAAGAGAATGTTAAAAGAGAGGATCCTAACTGTACCTGCTACCAAGGCAGTGGATAATTACAAAGGAGGCAGCATCCAACTTGTCTCAGATAAGTACAGCAACAATGATGAGAGGCAAAAACCAAAAACCACTAGTTGCACCAAAACTAATTCCAGTTCCACTGAAAAAAAAAGAATCACAAAATGTACAGCTAAGCTCTCCAGCAGGCTGCAGAGCGAAATACCCAATGCTGGGGATATTTAAAACCTCACAGAACATGGTGCAGAGCAACCTGAGCAGCCTTCTGAAGTTGGTCCTTTTTTAAGCAGGGGCCCAGACCAGAGGATCTGTAAAGGCCAGTCCCAATCCTAACCAGTCCATGACTCTGAGAATACCAGTTATATTTTTGCAGTGATACAGACATTCCCTTTCAGAAATCCCCATCTCCTATCTCATCCACAATGCCACCCTCTGATTTAAACTCTCACTCCCACAGAATAGAAGACAGAATAAAGCATAACTGAAAATACGATCTGTACCACCTGCCATTTGTGACTTCATTGCAGGCCTTTCCATTCCCTGTGAACTCTGTCATTCTCCCCATATTTTATCTCTATGGGACAAACAGGTCAAGAAGACAGTGCTGTACTAGGAAACACACAGCTACACAAACACACAGTCCTGTTTATGGATGCCCAAGTTCACTTCTGCATGCTGCTTGCACTGTCACCTCGGGAAGTGAATAAACCTCACTCCCTTCCTCAATTGTCTCTATGCCAGGGGCACAGACGCACACTGTGGACAAAAAGTAGCTTTGCTATTTTTATTTCTCCAGGGAAAAAAAAAAAAAAGAAGTGGAACTATACTGTCAAAAGAAATACCCTTAAAACCTGATGCATCTACTCTCGCTAGAAGAGCCATAATGGTAGAGGGTCTGGAGAGGACAGCTCAGGATGGACAATCTCCCCAAAGCAACAAGTAGTGGTATCAAAACAAGTCTAGCAGGGCATGCCAAAGAGGAACGTCATGATTTCTCCTTGAACTCAGTCTAAATAAGATGGGAAATGTTTCCCCATGCTTTGCAAAGTGTTAGGCAAACGTGGGCTGAAGTTACAGGGAAATTCAGGAGAGATGCAGTCAGCAATATGAAGCTTCTCCTGTGCTAAGTGGCAGTGGATGAGATCAGAGGGGCTAACACTGAGATTCCTCGGTGCTCATAAGCATGTTTCCTGAGCAGGTATGAACCCCTCTCAGAATAGATTACTGAACCAATGCTTACACCTGTCTGTGTTATTAAATACAGCCATTTAAATGAAGTGATTGGGAATGTTTACAGGGCATATATATGAGCTAAACAAAGAATGTACTTTTGGGAGGCTATGCAGGATGGGTCATTACTTTGCTGAAAATAAGCACTCTCACTCTTTGGCAGATTTACTGTTTTCCCTGTACATGACTGGAAGCATTCAGCCTGACAGTACAAGGCAACAGCTCTGCAAACTGCCCCATACAGCCCCTCTCCTTTCTCATTTCCTCCTCTCAAACTCTCCTTACTGACATTGTATTACAACCTAATGATGGATCATGACACTTATCCCTGAGGTTGATCACACATGCGTGATGACTGGTTTATTAATAACTAACAATATTATTTTCACATTCCTTGTGTATGTATCCATGGCCTTGCTGCTGCTGTGCTGTACAACACCGAGCACAGAAATCAAGCACGCAGAAAGCCGATCTGTTGAGGACAGTGGGATGAGCTGTGCTTAACCAACACTGCTTCGGTGCACATTTATACCTACCTTGCAGTGGCCACGCAGGACATTTGTGACACAATTTGATACTGTTTTTCTGCATCCCACATTAATTTCATGGACACTCAGACTCTGTTCACTGACATTCTGCGATGGAAAAGTAACAAGATGGAAATTCAATTAATCAAAGATGCCATCAGACCTTCATTCTCATGGCAGTCACACTCATGTCTTCAGATGATAAATCAGACGTGAGCTTACCGAGTGAGCACTGCTAACTTCCAGTTGATAGGAGCAATCTACCCCTAGCTCTAAAGTATGAACAGTAACCTATGCCTAACACTAAAAGACTACAAGTAACCTACGCCTAACTCTAAAATAAGAACAGGAACCTATGCCTAACACTAAAATAAGAACAGTAAGTTATGTCTAACACCAAAATACTAAAAGTAACCAATGCCTAACTCTAAAATAAGAACATTAAGTTATGTCTAACACCAAAATACTAAAAGTAACCTATGCCTAACTCTAAAATACAAACAATAATCTACTCCTAACACTAAAACTAAACTTAACATAAAATCAACAACAAAAACAAGAACTGAAATGTAACTCCTGCAGCATTTAAATGGGAAGGGGAGCTTGCAGAACTTGGCTCCAGAGGAGGCTCGAAGGAGGAGCAGCTGTTAAGTAATGCCACCCAGCTAATGCTGGGGGCGGGGGCCGCGCAGCGGGTAAGGAGCCGAGCGCCTGGACCAGCGACGGTGGAGCTGCGACGGTGCCAATGAGGGGCCTGGCACGGTGGTGTGGTGCCAGGCCAGCTGTGCCGCAGGCGGATCCACCTCCATCGGCTCATCCAGAGGTGGATCCACCTCCATCGGCTCATCCAGAGGTGGATCCACCTCCATCGGCTCCACCGTGGTGGTCACAGCGCCGGTCCAGGCATGATGGAAAAGGACTCTCTTCCCCCTCCTCCACTTGATGTTAAAGGTGGCCGCTCTCCTCCTCTTCGCTTCTGGGAACCCAAGCTCCCTCTTCCCATTTAAAATAGGGCAGCATTTGCCCCTCGCACTCTTCGCTCCTGACATGGCTGCTAACTGCCAGAGCTTTCAGAGGCGAGTGCGTTGTCCGGGGCAGCGGTGACCAAGGTGACAGCTGGTGAGGGTTCTAAAATGGCAGCCGCACTGCTGGCACTGGCGTTCCACATAGGATGAGGAGGGGGCTGGAGGACAGGGCACGGGATGGTAGCTAGAAGGCACTCCCTGTGCACAGCAGGCAGCCCTTCTCTCCGGCAAGCAAGAGGGCACAGAGGAGCCGGCCCCCACAAAAGGGCCCTCAGCATCCTGCACCCTCGCCCTTCTTCCACAAGGGAATCTTTTGGGGCTGGGACACGCAGCACACAGCGCCATGGTGCTGAGCTCAGGAAAGCCCTGAACAAGAACAGCAGGCTCCAAAGGGACCTGACTACACCTGCCTCCTGGTTTCCACATTAGCATCCAGCACCTCTTCTTGCACCTCACAGCTGGGGATTCAACCATTACCTACAATAAATATGTCCAACTGGATTCTGAACAAAACTTCCAGAGTCTCAGAGGAAATACGTTACAGGGAACAACCTTCCTCAACAAGAAGGTTTGTTACTCATCTCGTTTATAAAGGCTTGCATTCAAAAATCCCCAAATAACGTATCCAGTATTTGCTATCATCTCAGCCAGCCTTGGTGGCAAAGACGTGGTAGGAAAGTACTGCAGGACACAACTTTCAGAGAACACCCAGGTGCTTGGTAGGATGCCAGTCACTGCAGGCCTGTATAGTACACGAGCGTCCTTTACCTACTGCAGATGCTCAGTTACAGCAAGTGAGCATCTCACCTTGACTTTAAAGAAATCCCAAAATGACATTTCTGAAAACATGTGCATTGTACATTTATTGACCAACAGAGTATTTCCAAGTACAGAGTCCTGACAATATCCATGTAGATTTAGCTTCCTTTGAGCGTGGCTGTTGGGAGATCTTATTACTCTAAGCCAGGTATGAAGCTGCCTAGTCCTAGGTCTGAGAGCTGCACAAACAGACTGACCTTTTAGATCAGGCAATTAATACATGCTTTTCTATAGGTGTGTGTAATAATTTTTGTGTAAGTACTCAAACACACAAAAACAGAGATGTATGCATGCACACATGCTGCGCACGCTGCCAGAAAATGGAGTGAAAAAAAAGCAACTACACATCAGGGTAGTGCTTTACATCAGAAATTTGTGGTCTCCTGAACTGGACAGGCAATATCAGCTTTCCCCAGGATTATACAGATTGTGTACCAAGTCAGTGGCTTTAAAAGACTACCGGTGTGCTCAACAGAACTCACCAGTACTCCTTGGCAGCCTTCCACTCTAGCTCTGCTGGCCAAATAATCTGCCTAATGCATTTTAAGCCTTAATTAGATTTTTCTGACTCTTGTTTTTTCTGCTTGAAGAGCATATTAGTTCAAGGACCAAGTATTTATAGCCCGTTTGGTGGTGTTCTGACACCAAATGCCAGTATTTCCACTGCATGGCAGTGCCAAGGCCTAAGGACTCACACATCTACAGGCACAAACACCATATCCTTAATGCTCTGAAATGCCAAAAGAGAGAAACTTGATGATTTGCCCTTATTTTAGCAGTAGCAAAGTGAAAGGAAAACACCGTGTGGAACATTTTAATACCTGAAACATTTCTATTTACTTAAGTAACGTTGCAGTTTTTCCAATTAGGATATTTTATACTTTTTTTTTTTCCATTTTCTGTTTGTCCTCAACTTAATCACAACATGTCTTCAAATTCTATATTTGAACTTGTCTGATTTCCACCTTTTCTCACTAACAATTCCAGTCTTCTGTTTTTAATTCTTAGTTGACGGGGCCTGAAACCTATGTAGGATGGTGAGATTTCTGATAAGAATATCTCCAGTTTTTCCTGTTTTACAACAGCTGAACAATGGGAGCACTGAACCACTGCTCAAATGTATTCCAGAGTTACAGATCCCCCTTTTTTTCATTATTATTTTTTTTTTTTAATACAGATAAATTTAAATCAACTCTCTAATACAATAAGGAACAGCAAACAGCATTCGTGGGATCCCACAGGCAAAAAACATAGGTAGGAAAGCTTCTAAAGCTGTGACAGCAAATAGCAAATAAGCATTGCCTTCAGCTTCGTGCTGTTTTTTGAAGGGCAGTACACCCTATAATCAGCTAAGTGATAGAAGCATAGGTCTTGTTTGCACTTGATTTTCCCTTTTCCTCCTCCCTTGCCAACCACTGGGGTACCCCCAAGCTCTGTGCAGAGCTGTCCTGTTGACTTCTCACCATCCCCATTGCCACCAGTGCCACTCACAGAGCTCCTACCAGCTGTGGTTCACATCGTACAGCTTCTTTTAAGCGAAGGTGCATCAGGATTAAATCACGTCAAGTTTTTCCTGCTGCCTGGCTATGCTGTGTTGGTGTGAGCAAGTGTATCAAGGCCTACTCCTTGCAAGATGAAAGCAAGGTTCTCTCAGCTTCAATCTGAGTTTCGGACCACAAACTGTCAAAACGTGGACGTGAAATAATCTCTGTCAGTTTACTTATCCCCCTCATGCTGATAAAGTCCCACTACTCCAACACAAAGTCCTCAGAGAAGTCTGTAAAATGAAAAAAATAATTAAAAAAAAAAAAAGCTAAATCAACTCTCAAATTCCCATGTAAACTGGGTTTAAGAGTGGAAAATTTCTTTTACCTATTCTTTGGGTGGTACAAAAATCTAAAATTCCTATAGCCCTGCTTCCTTGCGCCAAGTCAAACAAGGATATTGTCCTTTTAATGTCTTGAAGGCTCTGTTTTCTTGTAATGCCAAATGCAATATTTTTTTGAAAACACTACACCAGAAGTTTCCCAGCTGAGAAAACAGGCTGGTGAAAAATGGTTTCAGAAAACGAAATAAACCATGCAAAAGCTGTTCAGGGTGTGTGTATGAAATGAACATCTGGATTTGGCTTGTTAAACTGCCTCCTTTTTTCCTCTCTCTCCCCCTCCTTTTTCTTTTTCTCACAGCTGTTCGAAAGAGTCCTAAGGGCAAAGAGACAGGTCAATGGACTGGGTTACACCTTTTTTTCTTTCCCTCTTTTTTTCAAACCCCTTTGCACCTACGCAAGGAATCCAGGCCACATGTGTGTTTAATAAGTAGGCACAAACACAAGAGAGAAAAAAAATATCTCAATTCCTGTTGGTTCTTAGGAAAGACACTGAAGGAAAAATAAACTCCGGATTTCAAATTTTTTTTTTCTCCCTCTCTCTCAAAGAAAAAAGAAAAAAAAAAAAGAAACCTTATGGTTCCAATAAAATATTCCTTCAGAAACCCAATGGATTTTATTCTTTAAAATCATGGTCTTTGCAGAATGTATCTTTTTGTCTGCTCCCTCAGAGAGAAATAACAATGGGTTAATCCATAACCTGCTGGAGCAAGAGGAAATTATAAAATGCCACTGGCCTGGTTTCATTGAACCAAGTCTTCTGATACCACTACACAGATACATAAATTTGTACTGAATGGGTTCAGATCTTATTTCAAGCTGCAACTTCCCCAGTTGAGGGGAACAGCAGTTTGAGTAGTGCAGAAACAAATCAGAACAAAAGTAACTGAGAAAGATAACTTCTGAGAAACAAATGATTCGCCTTTTTCTACTAATCCCACACCCTATGGCATTGCTAAAGCCATGGCCAGCAGCAGAGCATCCTTCAGCCATGGCAGGCGTCAGCACCCTGCTCCAGGAGGGCAAGGGGAATCATTCCCATGTGGTTCTTCTAGACAATGTGTGAGGGCTGCACTGGGCCTGACCCAAATCTTGGATTGTATATCAGATGAACAAATTACATGTCTTAGCTTGCAGTCAGGGCTGCTAAGATAGCTGTAGACCACTGAAAATCACCTCCACTAAAATATTGTATTCCCTCAGGAATATAGCCACGGGGCACTGTACCTTCATGTACACAGATGGGGCCTATCAAGGAACAAGGGCACAAACCCAAGGAGACACTGATAGTTACTGTAAGTAAACAAAACAAAAACCCTTCATATTTAAAACTTTCTGCTTTAAAATTTGAGCTTTCTGCTAAACTAATAGCAATTTCTTCGCAGCTTGTGCACATCTACACTTGATACGTGGATTTTAAGCTTAGACCCAAGTATTACACACCTGCTGATCCTTGCAGTAGCAAACTGGAACTATGACTGCTGACACCTAACTTTACTCTTTCTCCTCTGAATTCAGCTTGAAGTTGGCCATGATATCACAGCCCAGTTATACAGCAATGAGCCCCCAAGTATTTGAGTTTATTTGGAGAATATTATTTTGGCTAGAAAATTTATGTTGAAAATCAAAGTAGCCTCAGTAATACGGAAGTCCCAGTGCCAGGAAGGAAGCTCTATTACCTGACATTAGAACAACTCAGGCCACACAAAGACCTTTTCTGGAGAAAGCCTTTGCACAAAAACCTCCATCAAAAAGCCAGGATCTATCAATAGATGCTGCATGTCCAGACTGGATAAAACACACGGTGACAGTGATGAGCTTTGGGAAGGTCTTCCCAGAGAGGAGGCAGTGCTGTTTGATGAAACTGGCTTTGAACTATCTAAGCTCTTCTAAAAATAAAAAATAACAACACATTCACAACAAACAAACACCAGTCCAATCCCACTACTTCCTTGCCTGCCTGCCCCAGGTCTGCATGGGATCCATGGCCAGGAGATCGATCTAAGTCATAGAACGGTTTGTGTTGGGAAGGACCCCAAAGGTCGCCTACTTCCAAACCCCTGCCACGGGCAGATGCTGACTGCTAGATGAAGCACTAGATCAAACTGCCCAGAACACCATCCAAATCTCAAATAGGAACTTGCCTCGCATTGTGTTAGTCTCATGATGGTGACAGGGAATTATGTTTGGTCTTCAAAGAACTATTTTGCTGCTGTTTTCCAAACTCACATCTGCTTCAGTAGGGCTGAATGTCAATATTACCCTAAAATCCAGCTGAAGGCAAAATGAGTTATATTTCTCCCCTCTTCATTATTATTATTTTTTTCTTTTTTTTTTTTTTTTGTGCAGACCATGAGAGGAGCATGGCAGTGAACGTTATTTATGGAGCACCTAATAAAAATGCTATGGGGAAATAATTACTGGAAACATCTGACTGTGTGACTGTAAATGCCTCGGCCCCAGTGCGCTGATTTAATGGACCACTGCTTTACTCTGCTATGCCTCTTGCTACTGACTGCAGGCCCCCTGCCCTCCTATTAAACTGCCTGCGTCGCCGCGAGGCCGGGACTCGGCTCACCAGCTTTATGGCAGCGTTCCAGGGAGCGACGGTGATGGTGGGGTGACTCTGTGCTCACAGCGAGGCCTCGGGAGGGAAGAGGGGCTTCGTGGCTAGGCAGGGCTTCACAAAGTGATCACAGTAGAAACCTGAAGGTTTTGTGGCTCTGGGGTAGAGCAGCCCTTAGCAGTGCAGTTTCCAGGTGCTTTCAGGTATTTCTGATTGATGCTGGGATGCAAATTCTTCCCTCTTTTTTTAATCCCTATTCCTTTATGATCCACAAATCACCAAACTGGTTTCTTGTGGCCTCTTTAAAAAATTGCATTTAAATTATCCTTTTTTTGACCTTCTGAACCCAGGTAGCACCAACCCACGCAGCCTCCCCACACACAGGGCCTCTTACCCCACGGAACTGCTAATCCTCACCGCCTTTTCACGACCAGATGCAAGAATTTTCAAATTCGCAGGCACCTTGTAAGTGATACGGAGAACACCAGGAGCTGCTTTCATTTGCAAAAACAGTCCTGAAGAAAGACCTGAAGGCTGTCACTTCACCACCGCTGCTGACTCGCTAAATGAAGAGGAGAGAGCAAAAGGCAGCTGACAGCAAGAACAAAATCATCCCCACTCTTTCTGAGCCCTGCAGTTAGCACGTTTTTTTCTTCTTTTTATTGCTGGTTTTAATGTAATATTTAAGTTGGAACTAAAACAGACCATGGAACACTAAATCACTACCAAATGCAAATTTACCTACATATCTGAACTAAATTTTCTCCTACATTTACAAAGCAAAATTCTACCATTTGAACTGTGGGCTCCCATTGCATTTAATGGAGGGAGCAAACTCCAGACGTTAGTTGGAATACACGTGCACTTATCTTGTTGTTACAGGTCTCCCTTGCAGAACTAAAAGAGAGCTTTAGTTCCAGACAGTATCTCTCTTGGGTCATACCCAATGAATGGTGTTTTTTTGAAAGGATTATTTCAAAGGAACTCTGAGAAAGAATCTAATGACTTGCAAGCTACAGAATTGCAACACAGGAGGAAGTAGATAATGGAATATGACAGCAATGCATTTTTCATAAACCCAGTGATTTCTATCATAACAAGAAGCCCATCTATAATTCGGAGAATTCCCCCCACCCCCCAAGAAGGAAACCTGCACTGCTGTAGAAAGTGCACTGAAGTACAAAATGAAACAATAATGATGATGATGTTACTGATGAATCCCACAGCTCTGCCTTCCCTCCCATCTCCACAGTTCCAAGAGGAGCAGCTCTGATCCCTCTCTGCCTCAGCACTGCTAACCTGGGTAGCTCACAGGCACACATCAGAGACCTCATGATAGATGAGGAACCCAGGAGAAGAAGCTGTTCTTTATCTGCTGAAAGTTAAGGCCTGCATCTGCTCTCAATTAGCAGGCAATTAG